TATCTTTTAACGCAAAAAAGCTTAAAGCAAAATAAATTAAGTTTAGAACAAATATTTTCAAAACATCGCTCTTTTATAATTTTTTTATAAAATTAAGCGGCGTTTTTTATATATAGTAACATCTTACAATTGTTTAAAAAAGAAAAAGATGTTCTTTATTTAATAAAGAGTGTAATATAATTTGTTCTTTATTTAAAAGAATGTTCTTTATTTAAATGTTTCATTTTTTTTTAATATTAATTAAATTTTAACATTAATTAAATTTTAACATTAAATTTTAATATTAATTAAATTTTAATATTAGTTAAATGTTCTTTATTTAAAAGAGTGTAATTTTTATTTATATACTTGTGTCTTATTTATATACTTGTGCTAGATTAAGGAGGATTGGGGTTAGAGGGAGCTATAGCCCCAGGCCCTGCAATTTTAGGTGCCCTGAAAAAGTCAAGAAGACCTTCTTTTTATCAATCATTTTTCCAAAATATAAATAGCCCCTGGCCCTGAAAAGTCTAACAAGATTCTAATAAAACTAATGTAAGTTTAAGTTTTATTTAAGCTAAATTATTTTATAAATAAAAAAGTTAATTTTTTTAATAACTATTTTATGCTTCACATAGTTTGAAAAGTTTAACATATTTGAAACAATTCTTCTTAATAAGATTAACAAATGAAATAATTAAATCATTGAATTACTATAGAAATTAAATTAACTAGAAATAATTAAATTAACTAGAAATTAATAGAAATTAATTAAAAAGGTTAAAAATACTTAATGACGAGAAAATGAAACAACTTTGATCAACAATATTGCTGATGATGTTAAGTAAGTGGACTTTTTAATTTTAATTAGTATTTAAAGCAAAAAAAATATAACGTGTTTTTAAGAATGGCAACTGAAGCGAAAATATTTAGAGTTAGTAAACCAATATCTAAAATTTTTTTCTTTATATTTAATAACTTGCTACATATATTTGTGTTCTATCGTGACCTCAGGTGCTGTGCTTGTTCATCCACAAGTTACTTTGTATGCATGTTTGTGTTTAGTAACCAGAAATTTCTTATATGTTTATTTCATAATTAGTTTTATTAACTTTGATGATTATTAATAACTTCATTGAAACCGCAATTATTTTTGTAAGTCTTTGTTTACAAAGTAAATCATAAAAATTGCTTTAAAAGATTACATTAAAATAAAAATCAGATACACAAAATTACATTTACATAAAAAATACATACTTTTTAAATAAAAAATAAGAATATACTAATAAAATCTATAAATTATAATAAACTTTCAAAGTTTTGACAATTTAAAAAATATATTTTTGAGAGCACAACCAGAGTCAGTCACATTCTTAGGAAGCAAAAATGACATATCATTGTATGCAATACCTGGTATTTTAGTTTTTAAACTTATATAGTATATGAAAATTTTTTTTAAATCTTTTAAACTATAATCAGCTATAATGTTTTATAAACTAGGTACTTATAAAACTAGATAGATATAAATTTTGACAATTTAAAAAACATATATTATAAAACATTTATTTTTGTAAACAAATAATAATAGTTTGAAAGATTTACAGCTTTGCAGATGTGGCTCCGAGAATGAGCCATAGTAGTTCATTTGATAATATTTACTTAAAACAATTCATGCTTGAAATCTCAAAACATAACAAATCATTAATAATACAATATTTAAAACATTTCAACAGAATACTCTAGAACTTTATTTCGCTTAGTCAGCATGTTTTTTGAACTAATAGAATTAGTTTGTAGATTTGGTTTTTAGAGTTGGCAAATATTCTTTTTATTCTTCTGCTCCAAGATGTTTTCAGAACATTTAAGTTTGTGTATGTTTCCATGTATGTCTGTAAAACCAAATTTTTTTTTTAGTACATAAACTTAAATGTTCTCAAAACAACTAAAAAACCTGGCCAGTTTATCGCAACTAAATATTATTTCCGTGATCAGTATTTGAGAACAATTGCTCCCACTTCCCGACTAAGCCCGCAAATCTGTTACTCCACCTCTTGCTTGGCTCAGATTTTTTTACCTTACCTAAAGACAAAGATGAGTTGTTTGCTAAAAACTTTTCGTCAATCTCATCTTTTGATTCACCTAATCACATACTACATGATATATCCTACAAACAGGTTGATCCATTGCTTGACATTCGTATCACTCCAGTTTCTGTATCTTAAGTGATTTCCTGCTTCGACTCATCTACAGCTTGTGGTCCAGACAACGTACCTGTTATAGTCTTGCAGAAGTGTTAGCCAGAGCTGTCGTCTATACTTTCAAAACTATTTAACAAATGCTTATCAGAGTTTTGTTTTCCAAGTCTGCTGGAAAGCAGCATCTGTTATCTCTATTTTCGAAAATTCTGGAGAGATCTAACTCATCTAACTACCCTCCCATTGGTCTTCTTTCTATCATAAGCAAGTTTTTTGAGTCTTTAATTAACGAACACTAAATCTCTCATCTTAAATCTAAGAACTTTTTTCATGCATTAGATAAATGTGGAGAATCTAATGCTATTGCTCTCTACATTTCTAAAGCCTTTGATAAAGTTTGGCATGCTGGTCCTTCATAAGCTCTTTTCTTCTGGTTTATCAGGTAACATCTTTAAGACTATTGGAAATTTCCTCACCAATCGCAGTATAAAAGTTGTCCTCGATGGACAGCACTCTTCTTCATTTTCTGTATATTTAGGGGTTCCTCATGGTTATATCCTTGGTCCTATACTTTTTTTAATTTACATTAATGATCTCCCCGATATTCTCCTATCTAAGTTGGCATTATTTTTGTCAAAATTTATTCTTGTGTTACTCATCATTCAATTAAGTCTCATCCTTTTATCGTGACTGTTCCCAAGTGCTTGAAAAATTTATTTTGTTTTTTACTCAAACATCAGTTTATTGGAATTTTCTCCCTTTATCTTGTTTTCCTGATTCATATAATTTGCAATCTTTTAAGTTGTCTGTTAATTGTTATCTTTTTTTATAAACTTCATATTTTCTTTTCCAGTATTTTCTAACTCTAATAGTGGTTGCTTGCAGCCTTGTTGGAAGTGAATATGTTTTTAAAAAATAAAAACTTACCTCAATACTGTATTTAGTACACTTACCTAAGTACTGTATTTAGTACACTCACATCAGTACTGTGTTTAGTAAACTTGCCTCAGTACTTTAATTATTAAACTTAAATTAATACTATATTTGGTAATATATATGTACAATTCGCTACACTATATAGATGTTTGGTACACTACAATTATGTAGATGCTTTCACAATTTACTGTACCAATACACATAGATAATTTACTGAACCAATACACGTAGATAATTTACTGTACCAATGCACATAGATAATTTACTGTACCAATGCACATAGATAATTTACTGTACCAATGCACATAGATAATTTACTGTACCAATGCACATAGATAATTTACTGTACCAATGCACATAGATAATTTACTGTACCAATGCACATAGATAATTTACTGCACCAATGCACATAGATAATTTACTGCACCAATGCACATAGATAGTTTACTGCACCAATGCACATAGATAGTTTACTGCACCAATGCACATAGATAATTTACTGTACCAATGCACATAGATAATTTGGATATTTAACCATCACATTTATAGTTATTGCACAAAAATATAATTACACTTGAAACTTAATGAAACATAATTAAAAATTTATTTTATTTAAATTTATGTTATATTGATGAATACAAAAAAAGCAGCATAAATTATTATAAAAATCATATCGAGTATAAACATTTTTTTTTTCTTTTATGTATTGCCTTTTCCAAAAATGGCACTTTTATATCACTTTTTTTGTTATTAAAGGAACCCTCAAGTGCAAAGACGTGTTTCTCTCATAACTAAAAATTATTTATCAAGATATTAACAAATATATTTTTTATTAACTTATTAACTTTGACTAACAAAAAAGTCTATAAGCAAAAAAAAGCAAAACAGGATAATGTTGAGGCAAAACCAGAATATTCTTACAATAGTTATAATTATAAAATATTATAGTTATTTTTTATACTTCTCAGAAAATAAATTGTTATTTAAATAAGAATAACAGCAACCCTCTTGTCAGAATATGAGTTTATTTTTACCTGCCTAAAATATTCTTGACCCTAATTATTAATATTTATAGTTATTAGTAATAATAATTACTAATAAAAAAATTTGAAAAGCTGTCAAAAAACAGTTGCTAATGCCATGGAAACTGCTTTCTCATTATAATACTGCTTTATAAGAATATAGCTTTTTAAATAATTAATAAAAGTATTTCTTATGGAAACCAGCTAATCAGTTATTGTTTTTATAAACTGAAAGTTAATTATACCAAGTTTAAAAATCATTTTCTAAGTAATATTTCTTCAACTGTTTTAAAAATAATTTTATATATATTCTTTTAAGTTTTTACGAAATTAAAAAATCTTTTTTCACTTATTAACTATTTTTATTACTTTTAAAGATCAAGTGCAAAAGGAAAAACTCATAGCATTAGGTTTTTAACTTAAAAGTTTTTTAACTTAAAAGTTTTTTTGTATACATAAGTTATTTTAAATGTACTTTTTTGTATACATAAGCAAAATTTATCAGAAGAGATAAAAAAAAATTAATAAATCTTGCTTTGTAAGAAACATAATGTCATTAAAATAATGATGTTTTTTTCCAATATCTCAATAAATTTGTTTTAGCAAACAATGAAATTAAACATTATTTTTGATATGTTTAACGAACTGCTAATTCTCAGATACCACAGGCTAAAGGGAGCTGAGAAGTCAGCAGTTTTTTTATGAATCCGGCTCCACCTCTTTCTGAAAACCTACAGCTCTGGCTTCTTACCTCTGGTGGAGAAGAAAAATTTTTGTTTTTTCAGTTATTATTTTTTCCCACAGTAAATCAGGTGTTTATATTTTGTAATTTTGATTAACCTTGTAAATTATTTTTATTTTATTATAGCATTTTAACAATGTTGTTACTTGATTTAATCCAAAAAGCTGGTAATGGAAAGCATCCAAAACTTTTACTTCGCAGGTTTAAAGTTTTTTTCTTTAAACATTTTAGTTATTTAATAACATGATTTAAAAGCTAATTTTTTTTTTTTTTTTTACAAAATCAGAACTGAATCTGTAGCAGAAAAACTGTTAACTAATTGGTTAGCATACACCTTGCATGATTTTTTAGAAGTACGTTGCTTTTACTTTATTTATAATGATTTGTAATTAGTCTTTATCATTGTTGTTATTTGACCAATTCTTTATTGAATATAAAGTTACTTTTTTTGTAGGGACATGTTGGACAAAAATTGTTCAAGTTATTTAGTGCTATAAACATTCACTTAGAAAAACAACCAATTGATGCAATAACATCTGAGGCAAAAAACTCTCTCAGTGAAGATAAATTTCTGAGACAAACTATTGAATTTAAGGTTTAGTATAATGAGTGGTTTTTTATTTAAAGTTTTATTTAAAGTTTAGTATCTATGAATATATTGAGTTAAAAAATAGTAAATTTTCAATTCAGTTTTGTTAACATACTTTGGTTGTCCAGCATTTATCACTTTTTTGAATACAATCTAAAGTTCATTAACCTTTTTTGTAATCATTATCATTACTTAAGTGATTAACTTTTTTTTTTTTTAATTTCAAGATCAAGTTTTAATTTTGACAATGAATAGAATTATGACTTCTGACCATTATCAATATTATTATCATCATCATTAGTCCATTAGTTTTAAGAAAATGATTTGTTTGAAAAATTTGTATTACTTATATTCTAGACAATCGTTTTAAACATTGAATATATTTGTGAGGGTACAAGTAAAAAATATGAAGGAATTTCAGTTTTAACATGCGATACTATATCACAAACAAAAGAGAAAATTATCAAACACATATACAAGGTAGTTAACATATTTTAAATGTTTAAATAAAATATGAGTTTACTGATACATAGTTGTTGTTTTTTTAGGATTTTCCTTATAGAGAATGGCCTAATGTGGAAGAGTTATCACTTGGTATTCTTTTTTTTTTTATTATTACTATGAGATTTCATGATTTCCTTTTTTATATAATTTATGATAATAATTTATTATTATTTTAACAATAATTTTAACCTTGTTCATTGTTGTAGTTTTTATTTTTAAAACTGAAAAAGTAAACTTTTTCATTATTTTAGTGTATCTTTGAAGTTTATTATTTCAGTTTAACTTATGTAGAAGTTTATTATTTCAGTTCATTTTATGTAGAAGTTTATTATTTTAGTTTATTTTATGTAGAAGTTTATTATTTTAGTTTATTTTATGTAGAAGTTTATTATTTTAGTTTATTTTATGTAGAATTTTATTATCTCAGTTTATTTTATGTAGAAGTTTATTATTTCAATTCATTTTATGTAGAAGTATTTCAGTTTAACTTATGTAGAAGTTTATTAGGCGGACCTTTACACGGCGCACCCCAAATTCGGTGAATTTCATAAACGAACTCAGTAAAGTTCGAAACGATAACTTTGCCGCTTTACGATTGGCTAATATTAACAAATAAAAATGTAACACTAAAGTTTTCAATTCGCGCTTCCTTTTTACTGCCTTTAAATTAAGTAAGATGATACCTTTAGCTGAGTTCATTAAAAGTATCAAAGAAGAAAAATTGGTTGTTTTTTTGCAACAAAAAAGGCTAATGCCACTTCAAAATCTTTGTCTATGTGGTCAAAGAATGGTTGTGCAAAAGTATGAACGTTGTCAAGTATGAATACTTGAAATTTTTATTATTATTAGAACAGATTATCCCTTGTATTTTTAGAATAATTTATTTAAGGAAAAACATATTTGGCGATGCAACAGTTGCAAAAAGGCGAAGTCAATTCGAGCAGGATTTTTTGAAAGCTCTACATCTTTAAGTGTAAGTCTGATACTTCAATTAGAGGTAGTAGGTGTAAACGAAAAATCCTCAATTCAGTGGTATCAATACCTCTGGGATATCTGTTCATTTAAAACTTTAGATGTTGCTGCTGTAAATCAATTAGGTGGTCCAGGGCTCGTCGTAGAGATAAATGCATCTTTATTTTTACATATCAATGATAAGTATCCTCTGTAATTTAATGTAAAATAAGTATTATAATATTTACATTGAAAATGTTTCATAATATTTATATTGAACTTGTTTTTTTTTTTATGTACAACACAAAATTTACATTGCAAAAACTAAAAGATATGCCACAAAAAAATATGTAAAGAAGATAAGCTACAAGAAGATACCTGTAGAAGATCGATTAAAAGAAAATAAGCCACAAAAAGATATGTAAAGAAGAGAAGATACCTTTAGAAGATCTATTTAATCTAATATTTAATGTAGATATGTTGATAATTTGTAAAATTTTAAATTTTTATGTAAAATTTTAAATTTTTCTTAAAATACATTTACGCATATAGCGCATAATGTAATATTTTAGCGTCCATTCTGTAAAATACCAATATGCGAATACCGAGAGTTGTCCTTTCGAGAATATACGAAGTTCACCGAGTTTGGGGTGCGTCGTTTACAGGTCCGCCGTTTATTATTTTAGTTTATTTTATATAGAAGTTTATTATTTCAGTTTATTTTATGTAGAAGTATTTCAGATTATTTTATGTAGAAGTTTATTATTTTAGTTTATCTTATATAGAAGTTTATTGTTTCAGTTTATTTTATGTAGAAATATATTTTGATAACAGATAGGTGAACATTTATTAAAGTTTTGTGATTAATGAGTAATCATTTGATGAACTCATAATAGTTATGTTTCATCTTCGGAGTATATGGCTATTCAGAAATACTCCACTAGTTACATGCTTAGCATGAACATATACTTATTCAAACTAACCTACATGTTGTGAAATCAGCTTTGAATTCTCTGACCATTCTTTTATGTGCTTTCATTTAGCACCTGTTCGTGCAATGACCTTTCCCTATGTTCTTTATCTTTCTCTTTCTTCTCAAGACTGCACCTTTTTTGATGTTATTTCTGATCAAATGTACTCTACCCTTTCTCTTCATCCATAATCCAATATTGTTGTTATTTGTGACTTAAATACTCACACTAAATAGTCTCTAACACAACTGGTACTTAAGCTCATAACATTTTTATTTCTCAATCTCTTACTCAGCTAACTTTGCAAGCCATGCAATGATTTCTCAAAAAATTTTATTTTGTGTTTCTTCAGATTCACCTTATCATCAGATTCACCCTATCATCATATCATCCTATAATCAGACTCACTCTATCATCACATTATCCTATCATCAAGTTCACCCTATTATCATATCATCCTATCATCAAGCTCACCCTATCATCATATATTCCTGTCATCAGACTCATTCTTTCATCATAGTATCCAGTCTTGGTTAGGAAGCAGGTGCAATTGCACTTGATAACTGACTATAGAAATAATATTTAGTTATGAAAAACTGGCCAGATTTTTCAGTTATTTTAGGAACATTTAAGTTTATGTATGTTTCTTTGTTTGTCTGCAAAATAATAATTAAGTTCATTTTTTTATCGCAAATTTTAAAATATTTTGTTTTACGGACATACATGGAAACATACATAAACTTGAATGTTCTCAAACATCTCGGAAAAATAAAAAAAAGATTATTCGCGAACAAAATCTACAAACAACTAATTCTATTGGTTCAAAAAATACTAACCAAAATTTCTTGAGTATTCAAAAAATACTAACCGAATGTTCTAGAGTATTCTGTTGAAATATTTTGAGTATTCTGTTAAAATATTTTGAAAAATTGTATTATTTGAGTTTATGTTTTTGTTGAGATTGCTAGCATAAATTGTTTTAAGAATATACTATCAAATGAACTATTATTTTAATACTATGGCTCATTCTTGGAGCCACATCTACAAAGCTATAAATGTTTTAAACTAACATTATTTGTTAACAAAAATGTTTTTTATATTTTTTAACTTGTCAATGTTTTGTAAATTTATTATAGATTTTATTAGTATATTCTTGTTTTTTATATATAAGGGATGTATTTTTTATGTATGTAATGTATTTGTATGTATCTAATGTATTTTTATGTATATAATGTATTTTTATGTATGTATTTTTTATTTATGTAATTTTATGTATGTATATTTTATTCAAATGTAATCTTTTAAAGCAATTTGTGCGATTGATTTTGTAAACAAAAATACTTTCAATAATAACTGTGTTTTCAATGATATTATTAATAATCATCAATGTTAATACAAATAATTTTAACCACTAATCTATTTTCCTCAGTGTACCCGATAACTGATTCTTTCCCCCAAGAAAGAAAAGTTTTTAAGTTCTTAGAAATTGGTTTACTAACTTCAACTATATTTGCTTCAGCCATTTTTACAAACTCGTTATACTTAAACTTAAAGTTATTTTTTTCTGTTTTAAATACTAATTAAAATTATAAAGCCCACTCACTAAACGTCATCAGCTGTATTGTAAAGCAGTTCTGCTTCCTCCTCACAAAGTAATTTAACGTTTTTAGTTAATTTCTATCTAGCTAATTGAATTTCTACAGTAATTCAATGATTTAATTATTTCATTTTTCATCTTACTAAGAAGAATTGTTTCAAATGTGTTAAACTTTTTAAACGCGAAGCATGAAACAGTTATTGGAAAAACTATTTTATTAATAAATAAAACATCTAGCCTTAGTTTTATTGGTTGAATCTTGTTGGACTTTTCAGAGCTGAGGGCTGCACTATTTTGGTGAACTTTTTTATGTGCAACAGCGTAAAAATGACTAAAAAAATTTTGCTGTCCCTAACATTGTGAGTCCCGGGACTATAGCCCTTCTACCCCCCCCCCTCCTCAAACTAGCACTGGAAATAAGACATAAGTATATAAATAAAAATTATATATACTCTTTGATAAATCAAAGAACTTTTGTTTCCTGATTAAACAATCATTAATAGTAAGTTGTTACTTTATATAAAAAATGTTGCTTAATTTTATAAAAAAATTATAAAAGAGCGACGTTTCAAAAATATTTGTTCTAATCGTATTTATTTTGCTTAAAGTTTTTTCGTGTTAAAAGTTATTTTATTTTTTTAACTGTGTCTCATCGGTCCAGTTAATCTTATTACGCTTTTTTGTTTGATTTTGAAATGTTCTCAAAATGACTAAAAAATCTGGCCAGTTTAACGAAACTGAATATTATTTCTGTTGTCAATTATCGAGTATGATCGCACCTGCTTCCAGACCAAGTCTGAATATCCTATCATCAAATTCATCCTATCATATCATTCTATTATGAGACTCACCCTATCATCACATTTCTTCCGCTTCACTCTATCATCACACTTCATATTACAACCTTAAAGCTGACTAGGATATCTTTCTTGATTTTCTTTGTGATGGTCTTTGTGCTGGTCTTTTTTTATCTTGTTGATAATTGTGTCTCGTACATAATCTCATAAATTCCAGCTGGCATAGCTTTTATTCCTTTTAATCAGTTTCAAGTCAAGCCCCATTCTAACCCATGGTATTTACCTTCTTGTGCAACTGCTAGTTCTAATCATAATTTTTTATTTTTTTCATTTTTTCTACAAAAAGAACCCTATTCATAACACTTTTTTTTATTATTATTGCAACAAATCAATGCAAAAAGCTTCATTTTTTTTAAAGGGATCCCAAAGTGTTAAAACAAGTTGTTTTCATAATAAAGAGAATGTTTTAAAAAAATATTTAGATATTTAAAAAATCTTCAACAACATTAACATTTGTCAGTAATGCATTTCATCTCTGATACATGGATCTGATACTATTACCTCTCCCAAAGATAAGGCAGAACTATTTGCAAAGAACTTTTCCTTTAATTCATCTCTTGAATCTAATGATCATCTCTTCCTGTCATCCCAGAGAAACAGGTTATTTTATTGTTAGACATCTAAATGACTTCCATTTCCGTCGCTAATTTTATTTCTCTCTCAAAGTCTTCAACTGCTTTTGCCCAGACAACATTCTTGACATTTCTCTCACGACTTGTGATTCAGACAATATTCTTGACATGTCTCAATAATATCTCACGGCTTGTGGTCCAACATTCTTGACATATCTCAATACTATCTCACGGCTTGTGGTCCAAACAACATTCTCGACATATCTCAATACTATCTCACAGCTTATCGTCCAGACAACATTCTTGACAAACTTACAAAAGTGTTCTTTAGAACTCTCTTCAATTCTTTCTTAACTATTTTAAAAGGGCTTAATTGAATCTTTCCTTTTTGCCTGCTGGAAAATAGCATTTTTGGTTTCAGTTTTTTAAAACTCCAGAGAACACTCTGACCCCTTCAGCTCCACCCCTGACCAGCTATTGACTAATTAGTTTTCTCTCTATTATTAGCAAGACCTTTAACTCTTTGAGCAACAAATTTCTAAAATCTCAACTTGAACAATTTACTTGCTGACTATACGAATTTTAATACATCATTCTACAACTGACTTGTTAGCTGTTATATTAAAGATTTTATTCTGCATTAGTTGGAGGCAGCAAGGCAAAAAAAAATTTGGTATTTTTATGTATCTGTCCCTTCGTGCCTTAAAAATTTTTATCTATTTTTTTTCGTACCAATTATTTGGAGCTCTCTCTTGTTTTCATGTTTTCTTGCCTTATAAAATTTACATTATTTCAAGTCTTCTGTCTACTGTTTTCTTGCTCTTTAGCAATATTCTTTGTTTTCTGTTAGTATGAAACTCCAACAGTGGTTCCTTGCAGCTTTGTTGGTAAAAAATTAGACAAACTTCTAAATTACTACCAACACTCTTTCTCTTAGTGTTTAAAATAATTGGAGTCGTGATTTTTTAATGTTATCAATAATGAGAAAAAAAGATTAAAATTTAATTTTGTTTTTCTTTTCTTGATAACTTTTTTCTGTTTTCAGGGTTTGCCTCAGCCAATGGTGCAGTTCTAGTACTTCAGGATGAAGATACCACTAATGATATTTCTGGTGAATGGAAAAGATTGAATACTTTAGAACATTATAAGGTTCAAAAATTTCAATTGAAATTTTAACCTGTGTGATTTTAACTTGTTTAATTACAAAAGTAACATTTTTTTAGGTACCAGATCATTCTAATTTACGTCTAGCTCCAGCACCTGTAACACCTCCATATGAATATGGATCAGGTTAGTTTATTAACTTTTTTCTAATGCCAGTTTAATTTTAAAATGTTTAAAAGTAACCGTAAATTTTTTCTTTTTAATTTAAAACCAAGTTTTATAAACAGCAGAATCATAAAAAATCATCAAACTAACCATTTCTATTTTTACCACTCTCTGCACAGGAACCATTGAAGTGGTTCCATCAGTGCCAACATTCGAACTGACAACTCCAAAAAGTCCATCCATTCGTCCATTGAAGAGCTTTAAACGAAAATTTAACATTTCTTCACATTCAATTGCAGATTTTGAGAGATCAGGTTTGTTGTGTCTCTAAAACATTTTTAAACATTCATTTTAAATAAATAATTTTGTTACCATTAATTTTCATGGTCTTTTAGTTTTTAATTTGTTATAAATTATGGTTTTGTATACAATTTAATTAATTAAAAATTTAACTTTAATATAAAAAGTGTGTCAAACCAAAACTCTCAGTTTTGCTTATACCTTTATGTTGATATATGTACACTCCACTGTGTCTTTGTCTATATATTTACACTACCATAAATGAAAATAAAGAATAAAAATTAAAATTTTAAAATAAAATATAGTATAATAGTTTAAACAAATGCTAAAATAGTTTAAAAACTTGCATAAAATTATCTGCTAGTTATATAAAAGGACTTTTGTTGATCTATTAATATCTGGGGTTTTTTCATGCAATGAACAAACTTTTATTAGTTTTAAAAACATTTATATTTTTTTGCGCTTTCTAATGAAAGAATGTTTGTTCTAATTAGTAGTCTTTTTAATTTTTAAGTTTTTTTTTTTTTTTTTTTTGAATTTGTTGTAGGTAGAGTTCTCCTTTTTGGAGTTAAAATGCTTTTAAATTTGTTGAAGGTAGAGTTCTCCTTTTTGGAGTTAAAATGATTTTAAATTTGTTGGAGGTAGAATTCTTCTTGTTGGAGTTAAAATGCTTTTAAATTTGTTAGAGGTAGAGTTCTCCTTTTTGGAGTTAAAATGATTTTAAACTTGTTGGAGGTAGAATTTGTTAGAGGTAGAGTTTTGTTAGAGGTTTTTGTTAGAGGTAGTTTTGTTAGAGGTAAATTTGTTAGAGGTAAATTTGTTAGAGGTAGAGTTCTCTATTTTGGAGTTAAAATGATTTTAAACTTGTTGGAGGTAGAATTCTTCTTGTTGGAGTTAAAATGCTTTTAAATTTGTTGGAGGTAGAGTTCTTCTTGTTGGAGGAAGAATATTGAGAATTATACTTGACTAAACAGTTATTGTTTAAGTTAGAATTTTCGTTTTTCTGTGAATAAAATTGTTTTTAGGACTGTTTGGTTTTTAAATTCAGATTGATTAGGAGATGACAAAATTTAGAAGTTTATTAATTTAGAAGTTCTATCAATTGAACATTCAAGTTTATTATTTATGTAAAAATGATAAAGCTACAAAAAGAGATGTTAAGACTTAGGTAAGTTGAGCAATGAAATATGGAGGTATATAACTATTTGCATATATAAACGTTGATGAAAAAAGTTTTTTTTGTTTCATGGTAATGAGATTAAACTAGTTTTCTTATTGATATAGTCTGAAAATAAATATGCGTCATTTTCTGATATGAATGGAACAAAAATGTTACCAACATAATGTTTCTAAAACGCTGACTTGACTCCATTGTAAGGTTAATGGTGTTGAAAGTGTTGTATTATGAAGATAAATGATCTTCAAAATGACCCATTAATAAATTAACAAAGACAGGTTCCCATAGCAATCCCATTTGTTCAAAAATCCTTCAAAACAAAAATTCCTTAGAGCAATAACTTCTTGGAGAGGTATGTTGGTACTTTTGACAGATATTATCTAGTATTATCTGTTAGTAAAATATTATCTTACATTGAGACTTTATAAGATGTATTTTGCATGAAAGTTAGCTTTATTCATAACTTGAACAAAACTAAATGAAACCTTTGTATTTTTATTGTTATGTTAGTATTCACTTTATTTAAATTCGTTAATATGTTTTACCTAATAGATCTATTTTCTATAGGTTTCTATGGTTACAAATCATTTGCATGCCAGGATTTAATTCCTATTAATTTGATTAAAAACACAAATGACTGAACACTTTAAAAAATCATAAAACTCACACACATCTGCAATTTTTTTTTTAATTTTTTAAGTATAATAATAAATGCTTCTCAATATGCTTTCCCCAATAAATTTAAGCTTTAAGTTAAAGAATGTTTGTTTATTGAATGGAAAAAACCCAGATAAGTTCAAACATATGAACCATTAAAAAAATTATCTTTTTGTACTATTAACATAATTATGATTTTATCAATAAGTTATTATTCAATATTTTTATTTTATTATTTACAAACTATTTTATTTTATTGAAATGTTTAATGCCTTTATAATTGTATTTTACGCTATTGTATTCCCCCCCCCCCCCATTCAAGTTGCTGTAAATGGCATGTATAAAATTTTATTTTTTTATCTTTTTATTTTTCAATTTTTTCATTTTCTGAAAATAATTGGACTTATATTAGCATGTAGACTGTTTGTAATAGTTAAATTTTTTACATTTTCTGAAAAAATGTTTTTGTTTCAATACCAGCAGCTCAACTACTTTCGACATCTTTTCAAACATCCCATGCTAGCTCTCCTTTGTTAAATGTGAAAGAAAATCCGCAGGAGCATAAGCTTTGGCATATGGTAGTTTGAATACTATATTTTTAAATATCTAATTTTTTAATTTTACTCTAAAAAATTTGCAATAACATTTTTTTAATTTAGGTAAAATGTACTGAATATCCACAAGAACACATTGAGGATCAGCGAAATAGTAAATCTATGAATCAAAATATAGCTACAGAAGTATTTCTTACTAGGCTATTGAAGACTAAGGTTTTTTAATTTTTTAATGTACTGTTTAATGTTATAATTGTTTGCCAATTATGTGTGTTCATTAATGGTGTTGTTAAGGTATAATAATTAACAAGGTATAATAGTTAAAAATTAAAAGTCATTACTAATATTTTTACAGGATTTACATTGATAACAGAATTGTAATAAAAATAAAATTGTGTCATTGACACAATTATTATAATAGAATATATTTTGCTTATGGTAATGACAAAGATTTTTAATTTGTAGGAAACACTGCAATCTTTTGTAAATGATTTGTTCAATTCAATATTTGGATTAGAGAATGGTGTCCGTACAATACCATTAGCTGTAAAGTTTTTATTTGACTTTTTGGATACAGAAGCCAATAAGTTAGACATTAAGGATAATGAAGTGCATCATATATGGAAAAATAACAGGTTTTTTTTAATTATTTTTATTTATTTTTAATATAAGAATCAGTTTTTATAATTACTTTTTTTATTTTTATTTTCATACAATAAGTTTATCCCTTGCATTTTTTAGCTTACCCTTGCGTTTCTGGATTAACATTATCAAGAATCCTAATTTCTGTTTTGATGTAAAAAAATCAAATACAGTTGACTCGTGTTTGTCTGTTATTGCTCAGGTATATTTTTTATGTTAATATAAGATATTCATAAAACTTTATACATTAATTGTTTTTTTCACTCGAAGTTTTTACTTAATTACTTAACTTCAATTTTTATGTCAATGTTACTTATAAGTCAATATAATAAATTAAGAGTTTGATAGGGTGTAAACCTCTATACTTTTGCATGATAACTTTGTCTAAACTAAGAAAAAATCTGTTATATACAACGAACTGCAACTATCGTTATTGTGCCAACAGGTTTTTCGTTATGTTAATGGATTAAAATTTTTACGGATTGAAGTTTGTTGATATTAGTCCATTAAAGTTACGGATTTATTCCATTCGTGCAACAAATAATTGGCTAAAATAAAGGAATTATTAAGCTAGGCGGCTTTTGCTGTTTTGGTAAATGGTTTCAATTTTTAATACTGTTGTAAATTCATGTGTGTGCACATTTCAATTCCAGCAACCGATTGTTGATTATTTAAAGATAAAGAAACCTTTTAACACAATAAAGAAGTTGTTGAATATAAATGATATACCATAATACAAAATGGAAATAAATTTTTACTAATAACCCTTTAAGAAATATTTGTTGCTAGTTCTTTATTTCTAAATTGCTAATAAAAATTATGTTGTTTTATTAGTTCTACATTTCAATGTATTAAACAAAAATTAAATGCGCTACAAAAGATAACCTTACCTGCTAAGGGAAAGGTTCTAAAATTTTTACACACCAATAGTTGTAAAATTTTTACATACATCAAGAATAAAAGAAAAAAAAGTCTCTCACCTTTTTATTAGATAATAAAAAACACGTTAAAAGTATTAATATTAGAATTTAAGATACCTTATGCCTGAATGCCACATGTCTAAAGTACCAAGCTCTATACAAATATAAACAAGCAATATATAAACATAGTTGTAACTAACATAAAAAAATTACAAGTAAAAAAAAAAAAAAAAAAGTTTTACAACTAATTTAAACATACAGTGTGATATAGCATGACACGTGTCTAAAAGAGCAAATTATAAAAGCATATACAAACTTAAATATACAATTATAACAATCCATATATAAACTTTGCTGTAACTAGCCTAAATAAATACCCATTAAAAAAAAATGCAAGTAAACATTTTACAACTGATTTATTTTACAACAGATGAAACTTACAGTGTGTTATTGGATGCCATGTTAACATTTTTAATTTTAAAACTGATTTAAATTTATATTGAAAGTTACTACATGTCACGTTTAAAATAGAAAGTTGTACAAGAATATATACAAGTCATATAGTCTGTATTATAGAAATAATTATTCAACTAACCCTTTAGTTTATCATATAAAAAAAATTAAAAATATATTCAAATATATTGTATGATTAATGAAAAAGGTTTGAATCCTTATTGCACTATTGCTAGGATTTCGATTGATGGTGGACAGGGTTTTCTTGAATGTGTTATGTTTTTGATCCACTACATAAACATACAACTTCAGAAAGTCTTGATAATTCCGGTGTAAAAAGATCATTGGTTTTGGCTTTAGTTGAAGATGTTTCAGAGCATAATGGTAATATTAGCAAACTATTTAAACCACTTTTAAGTGCAGCCTCTATATTACCAAATATGATATTTCTCCAACCTGTAGTTAGCTGTCTTAGAAAGTTTTCAATTACTAAAACAAAAGGTTTTAGCATGTTTATTGGAGAATCTATTGCTGAATCAGCTTTAGATTTTAAAAAAGCTTTCGAAAATCTGCAGCTTCATCTTTTAAAAAAATTTAACTACCAATTAAATATTAGTTGGAAAGTTTATATTTTAGTTTTTAATCTTGTTCCTTTTCTTCAGCATAGTCAATTTGAACCAATATACACCAACATGCCGAGTAGGCAGTAGAAAGTGCTCACCACTATCACTATCAAGTAAGGAAGCGAAACAAGCGTTGTTTGGAACATAATGATTATGCCAAACACCTTAATAAAAGTGTGATTGGGTTTGGTATAAACAGTTTCAAGTAGTCCTTTTCTCTCCTTTTTTGAAACTTTTAATTATTGTGAACTTTAAAATGATTGAATTATTTTATAAGGAATTTCAATATTTCATGTTAAACTGTTACATTTATTGTATTGACGTTATATTGTTAACACTGGAATTTATCTCAATTATACCATAAGAGATCTTATTTTTTTACATCAAAGTTGTATTCTTTTAATAAAAATTGTTTTAGAGGTAGAATACCCTATTAATTGTGAAAAAAATCCCCGCCCTCCCATATTACCCCCTCCCCCTCCATATGTTATTTTAGGTAAAAACTATTTTTACAAAAAAAATATGTTTAAAAATTAGTTTAGATTTTAAAAGTGATTTTAAAACACTTACCTAAACCCAAAATTAATAATTATACAAAATTAGAGTGAGCCAAAACTTGCAGTCTCAGGAGAGCACAGTGAAATCAATGTTATTGGTAATGTGATGGTTTCAGCTTCTCTTTTTATAAAATTTTCTTTTGCCCTTTCATGATATCAGCTGCTATTTATATGCATTTAGCGCTCAAATGTCATAATGTTGTTCAAGTTCATTCAAAGTTTGACAAATTTATTTTTCCAGTTTTAACATTTTGACTTAATTACTCAACTTTATTTTAACAATTTTGTCATCATTGTAAAGCTAGACTTATCTGATTGAAGTGGTCTAGACTTGTCTAATTAAAGTGCTCTAGCTTTTTTTCCAAACTTCCTTATACTCAATATATGTAAGTTCCAAACTTCTGATTGAATTAGTGCTCAAGCTTTTTTTCCAAACTTCCTTATACTCAATATATGTAAGTTTAAAAATATCTCTTGCATGTGCGTTGTCTTTAAAATAAAAAAGTTGTAAAGTGTGATTTATTGGTTATTTTCTGTCATTTTTGCTGTGGTTCATTATTATAACAAAGCCATTTAAAACATTTTAAAACTTCTGGAGTTTTTAAAATTTTAACTAATTTTAATGTTTTCAACTTTGTTTATTGATATAATATCCTTTTTATTTTGTCGCACGTGGTACTACTGAGGACTGGGTGGAGATTGAATACAGAACTTCTTGCTTTAGGCGAGCACTGCTACTACACCACTACCCCATAAAATCTTCCTTTAAAACATTGCAGTTTAAAGGAATAATTATTTATGTAAAAAATAAAATATCAAAATATGACATAAAGTCAAACTTTTGACTTCACCTCATACATTCACCTCTAAAAAATGATCAATTTTCTTTTAATTTTGTGCCTTATATGTATTTAAACTAACATAATACATAACAGTAGTTTGATTGCTACCGGTCAAAAAATAGTAGTTGGATTGCTACCGGTCCTTTTATGATGTGTTATACAGTATGCATTTTATGTATGAAATGGCCATTTCACCTATATGTAATATGGAATATTTGAATTGTTTTTTGATATTGTTTATGCTGCATTTATTTAAATTAAATTAATTGTTCTAAAAAAAATGTTAACCTTATTTGCTTTAGTTTTAGTCTCTTTTTTTTTTTTGATTAAAAAAAAGACAGTTAAATAACTTTTCTTTTTAATAAAAAACTAAAATGAAATTTGGTTTTAAAAACTTTAATTTATCTTTGAAGGAATGTAAAGTGATTTTGCAATACTTTTTATAGAAATAACTTCCTTTTTTAAAAAACTAATCCATGACACAAAAATGTTAAGATTTTACAAAAGTCTCTATCACTAATGGGATTTTACAAAAGTCTCTTAATCTTTTTCTTTCAAAATCTTGTTAAGTTTTTTTTATGAACAAAAATTTTGTTTACTAAATATAGTTCAATCGTAGTCATAAGAATGTCTGGAAACACAGACTTTTGATTTCAACTTGAAAACTGTGCAATGACCGAGCGAATCTGCACAACTTTATTAAAAATGGCTTTTATGATAAATAGTGGTTTGGAATGTTTGTTTGGTATGGTTAATCAAGGTTTTTAAAAATACAGACATAAACTTAGCTAAAGATATAGATTCCCATGTTTCTAAAGTTTTTAATTATATTGAACAACATGTATATAATTAGTATCTAAAGTAAACAAGACTTTGTATCAAGACTTTGCGTATTCTAAAAACATTTGGTTTTTAAAACATTTACAGGAGAGAGAATTCCTTTATTAAAATGTTACTGCTAACATTTTTTGTAAAAGTTCATTCATTTTTTTAATGTTAAAGGCATAACAGAAAAACATAAAATGAGAAAGACAATTTGCAAGACTTGTGCAATATATTTGCAAGACATGTGCAATATATAACTTTATAAATTTATGACAAGTTTATTTATCTAGGTAGTCAATAAACTTTTTAGCGTGTTAATAAACTTGCTACAATAAACTTTTCTGTGTGTTACAGTTAAAGAAAAAAAATTAGGATTGGTTATGTATTTGTATTCGTATATATTAGTTGCTATATATAAAAGCAAGCTTGCTAGAACCATTTATAATGGGTTAAAAATGTAAAATTTTGCTAATTTTTTTTTTCATAAATAGTTATCCTTGAAATCTACATAAATTTTTAAAATGAAAAAGCTTTTAACTATTTTTATTTTAAATAAACATAATAACTTAGTGCTTATAAAAAATATGTTTTAGTTATATATTTATAAGTAATTTATTCACAATAGTCTTAGAATTGTTGGTATTATTATTTGAAGCTTCTTCCTCTTTCTTAATACCACTCGAATATTGTTTTATATTAAATATAAAACAATCAAAGATTGTTTTGTAAAAGATATTATAAAGTTATAATATAAATTATAAAAAAATACCAACATTTCTAGGACATATTATGAATAAATTACTTACAAATATATACTAAAACATGCTTTTTATAAGTAAGTTAATATGTTTATTTAAAACCAAAAAAAAACTTTTTTATTTTAAAAACGTTATGTAGATTTTAAGGATAACTATTTATGAAAAAAAGTTTGAAAAAATTTTACATTTTCAAAGGCATTATGAATGGTTCTAGCCAACTTCCCTTTATATATAATAATTAAATGAATACATTTTTGAAAAGAATGAAGACCTCATATTAAAAATAAAAGTTTTGAAGAATTGTCTTTTTCGGGACTTTTGGCTGTGGAAAAAAATTAATCTGGATCACTGTGTCATGTTGTAAAATATTCTTTTTCAAAAAAGGTTTTTCCACTCTATTGCTACTGCTTGATATGTTGGTTTTTAAAATTATTTCTGTATTTATTTTAAAGAAAATGTGTGTTAAAACTTTATGAAAATCTATGAAAGGGTGTTTTGAAACCTTATGAAAACTGTTGAAAGGTATTTTGAAAACTTATGAAAACCTTTAAAAGGGTTTGTTGAAACCTTATGAAAACCTTCAAAAAGTTGTGTTGAAATCTGTAAATAACGATTGTGTTGTAATAAGTAAAAATGATTACTAACAAAAAAAGTTTTTAATAAAAGTATAGACATTGTTTAAGTGTAAAATCATACTTCAAGCAAAAATATTATTAACAAAAATGTTATTAACAAAAATTTTATCTATATCATATGCTTAATACAACAGAACACACTTTTTTTTTTGCATATTGAGTATAATACTCACATTATACACTTAATACTTAACATTTGTTTTGGAATATAATACTCAATACACAACTTATAAAGATCTGCCCAAGGAAAAATAGAATCAGGCTTTTATATACTGATTCTGATAATAGATACTGTAAATAGTTGGAGGAAAATAAAGTTCATGTAGAAAATCTGTCTGTAAATAAACAAGTTCAGATAGAAGTTATAGCGTTTTAAGTTAATTGTCAATTCCAAGTTATCAAGGTTGCTGAACGAAATTGGACTTTAAACCAGGAAAAAAAGATTAGTTATAGTTTACCTGCATTTTCCTATTTACATGCTATTACATAAGCTACTAGGTAAAAGTGGCCATTTTTTAAAGTATTTTAACTCTACACAATATAACAGCAAAAACGATTTTATGGTTTTGAAAAAGGCCTATGATGATTTAAGTCTTGATAATGAAGATGATTCATGCTTAAATGACGATATCATGGATCTAGCTAAATGTATAATGTTATCCAATATGCTAACCCAAGAGTTGGCATCTAAAAGGACTTTTAGAGCGCCAAAAAATTCATTCACTATGGGAGAAGTCTTTTGTCAACAATATTATTTCTAAAGTAGTTAAAAGATAAAAATCTAATGTATGATATGTATATATATATATATATATATATAAGTTTTGTAGTGGAAACTTCTTGTAAACAAGAAGTTCTAGATTCTTCATCACATTCCTCGAAAAGTGTCTAACTAGTTTCTCTGTGCAGCAGTCTTCTTTATCAAGGTTTGTGTTTCTGAGTTAAATTTTTGACAATAAGTTGTAAAATCATTAGGAAAAATAATAATAAAAAAGGAAAAGTGTTAGTCTTTTTGACTGTAATGGCCCCCCTTGATTTTAGGGAGTTGTAATAAGTTAAAAATTGAATAAAATTATAAAAAGTTATTTTTAAATGCATTTTTTTATTGTTAACCGTTAAACTGTTTTGTTTTTATTATAGTTGTTCATGGATTCATGTTCACCTGATGAGCATAAACTGGGAATGGTTAGCTGTTTGTTTAGTTTTTAAAACCTTTTTTTTTCACATACAGCTTTTATATACATATACATACATACATACATTCATACATACATACATACATACATACATACATACATACATACATACATACATACATACATACATACATACATACATACATACATACATACATACATACATAGATATATATATATATATATATATATATATATATATATATATATATATATATATATATAAACAGGAATCCCCATCTAATAAGTTGTTATATGCTAAAGAAATACCAGAATACAAGAAAATAGTGAAAAAGTAATTTTTTTTTGTTTTTTCACATACTTTTATAGTTACTATTATATAGAGAATTTTATTGTATCTCTATCAACATAACTCATTTTTAGATATTTAAAACTTGTTTTTTAGATTTTATGAAGATGTTAGACTCGCTAACTTTAATAAAACTGAGTTTGAACAATTTTTGGATCAAGTTTCTCAAGTAATTTATTTGTTTACTTTTAAATCAACAGTGAGAGGTTTTTACATGTTTCTAGTTTGTAAACACTTTTTTACAAGTTTTTAATTTGTTTAACACCTTTTTTTAATCTGAAAAAATTGTAGATGATAAAACTATACTTAACCTTGATCTTACTAAAGAAAAAAAAATTATTGAAATTTGAATCTTCAAGTTAACTGTGAAAACAATGTGAATAAAGTTATATAATAAAAGATGATATAAATTAAATTTAAAAGAAATTTTTAAAAAAATTTAAAAGAAAAAATTAAAAGGACATCCTATTGATATTTTTCTATAGATCAGAATAAAAACCTTGACATTAAAGGTTTTGTTTGTGTAAGCATTTGCTAATTGCAGCTAAAATATCCTCCATTATAACTATGTAAAGTATTGTATTAAGACTTATTGGAGTATACATATATATATATATATATATATATATATATATATATATATATATATATATATATATATATATATATATATATATATATATATATATATATATATATATATATGTATGTATATATATATATATATATATATATATATATATATATATATATATATATATTATTTGAATATAGAATGCAATAAAATATAGGATGCCATATATCATATATAAATATAGGATGCCATATATCAAGCGGTTCCGAGTTCGATCCCCACCACGTCCCTGGTAGTACCGCGCTTAACTCATTTCTCCGCGCAGCGGCCTTGTCAAGGTTAGTGTTTCGGAGTTATAGAGTTGAGAGAGGGTTAAAGCCACAAATAAGTAGCCTCCTCGTCTGTAGTGGCCTTCTTGACCTTGAGGAGGTGAATTAAAATAAAAAAATAAAATATATATATATATATATATATATATATATATATATATATATATATATATATATATATAGTATATATATATATATATATATATATGGCAATAAAATATAGGATGCCATATATATATATATATATATATATATATATATATATATATATATATATATATATATATATATATATATGGCAATAAAATATAGGATGCCATATATATATATATATATATATATATTTATATATATATATATATATATATATATATATATATATATATATATATATATATATATATATTAATTGAATATAGAATGCCAATTTGGGTAATATGCAAATGATTGCTAGTTCTATAAATTGTGTTTCAAGAACTGTACAATTGTTCCATGAATTGTACAGTTTTTGGTTCTTATAAGTCATACTGAACAAGTTCTTATAAGTCATATTGAGCTGGAAATTAGCTGTAATTAAATTTTTTAAATTTTCAAAGCAATGTAATATTTTATGATGTTTTGAAAATGATAATTAACAGTTTTTATTAAACCAGTTTTTTTAAACAAGTTGTTGTTGTTGTTGTTATAAAGTTTGTAAGCAAACTCAAAATCTTTAAAACAGGTTGAAAATAATAAGCAAAGAAAGAAATATTGCATAATAAATATGAATCATCAGGATCAGTAACAGAAAAAAAGCAGTATACTAGCAAGAACTAGCAAATAAATATGTAAATAGTAAGAAGACTTAATAGTCTTGCATTAGAAATAATATGAAAACATTTAAAATGAAAGTTGCATCCAACACTGTTGAAGTTCTGGAAAATCAAAAGAAACTATGGAGAGCAAAAATATTTTTTTTCAAGTAAACCTCAGTTATTATGAGCCAATACATTTAATAAAAACTGTGAAAAAAAAAAATTCTTAACATTATACTTAAGAAAAATATTAGTGTTTATGCACTTAAAAGAAAACGCGTTCTGACAACTGGAAATCACAAGAATATAGCGGTGCAAGAATTTTTTTTTTTATTACAAGTAGAAGCAAGTCAATTTTAGTGTAAATAAATTTATAGAATAAAAAAAAAATAATTTATAGAATTTATAGAAATAGAAAATTTTTTATGGATTTATAGTTTTTATTATGTTTATTTTAACAATTATATACCATATTTTATACTGTTTATAATAGATATATTTACTAAAAATTTAACCGACGGTGCCTTTATGTAGTTGAAACATGTCTTAATTTAAATAGTTGAATGGTTTTAAATAAAATAGAAAAATTATCTTATATTTAAAGTATTTACTTATTTTTTGCTAAGAAGTTTTGGATATATATATACATATATATATATATATATATATATATATATATATATATATATATATATATATATATATATATATATATATATATATATATATATATATATATATATATATATATATATATATTAATGCTTTCAACAAGGCTACAGCAACCACTATTAGATTTGGAAGTTACTGGAAAAGAGAAGATGAAGATTGTAGAACAAGATAACGATGGACAGACGACTTAAATATTACAATATATATGAATCAGGAAAGCAAGATGAAGGAAGTAAATTCCAAAGAACTGATGTTCGAGGGAAAAAACTAGAGGAATAAGAATTTTTGAAGCACTTAGGAACACTCATATAAAATGGATGAGACCTGCAATAGCAGGTCCAACTATGTTTATAATGCTTTTTTGTCTAAAAGAGAAAGGACATCATTAAAAGATCCATCCCAGATATGGCAACAGTATTCCTTACAAGGACGGATTTGAGATTTATAGAGATAATGAATAGAATTCGGAGTAAAAAAGTGTCAAGCTCGATAAAGAGAAGCTACAAAATTAGCAGATGCTAATTTTGTAGCTGATTTGATATATGGTTTCCAAGAAAGATTAGAAGAGTTAATCCTAAAAGATAAAGGGTAGATGAATCATCAGGTACATTACCGTTCATAAATATAAGATCTGAATTTTTGCAAATTACCTGAATTAAAGTTCACCAGCAACGTGAGCCCCATGCTGTAGCAGAAGTGAGATCCTTTTCAAGCTCAAATACCCTCCAAGCAATCAGAGAGAGTTGGCTTCTTATTTGACAAGAATAAATGGTAGTACCATTAGCGAACAATGCCACCTTGGATGTGAGAATATCTGGAAGATTGTTAATGTAAATTAAAAAGAGTATAGGGCCAAGGATTGAACCTTGAGGAACTCCTGAAGTTACAGGATATGAAAAAGAGTGCGGTCCATTAAGAAAAATTTTATACTACGATTGGAAAGAAAAGATTCAATCTCTTAAAGATGTTATCATATACACCGTAAAAAGAAAGCTTATGGAGAAGACCAGCATGCCAAACTTTATCAAAAGCTTTAGAAATGTCAAAAGCGATAGCCTTAACCCCTCCACCTTTATCTAATGCACAATAAAACCTATCAGTTATTACTGTTAGCAAATCAGCTGTAGAATGAGAAGATCGAAATTTGTATTGATGATGAGAAAGTAAGTTATTAGTTATAAGATATGAGATTAAGTGTTTGTTAATTAAAGATTTAAAAATCCTGTTTATGATAGGAAGAAGACTAATAGGACAGTAGTTAGACAGTCAGATTCAAAATTTTTGAAAAAAAATCAGATCGCTCTCCAGAATTTTGAAAAATAGATTATAATGAAAACCTCTAGGCTTTAGGCTCACAATATTGTCTGGCTCATATCTTGCATTTAATATTGACATGTAATGGTAAAAATAATTGTACTGAAACAAAATTTTTGTTAGAAAAATGCAGAGGGATTCTAACCTGCTTGATCTTCAAGTCAACTTTACTTTTAGAGGAATCACATTGTGAAGCAGATTTAGTTAAATAAGTAGACAAAATTATACAACGATCTTCGAATTCTTGCTGAAGTCAAAGACATTGATGATTTAGAGCAGCAAGGTCCCATTCAAATTTATGATGAAGCAAACATGATTAAAGCAAACAATTTGATAATTTCATAAAAAGACAGCATAGAAGTCTGAAACAGCAAATATGCAAATCATCATGCAAGGTATCCACATTTAGCAGTGCTTGCAACAGAGTATTTTAGCATACCAACCTCGAGTGTATCAGTGTAGTTTATGTTTTCATTAACTGGATTGATTTTGAACTCAAGAAGAAGCAGTTTAAGATCTTCCAACATAAATATGACTATCTTTATTCATGACATTATCAGATTTATTTAATTTTTAATTTTAATTGAAAAAAAAAGTTGTCTTAATTTAAACTTAAATTTGTTTTCTTTTTGTTGAAAACAATACTAATTATAATTCAGAGCAATTTGCGCAGCCAGACGTCAGCAACTTTGTTGGTCAGCCAGTACCAGCTAGTTGGACAAAATGCTCAGGTTTTGTCCACCTCCTAAAACTGTTAGCCAGGAAATGACATGTTCTAAGCACGGCTTTAAACTCTAGGTATGTTGTCTAGTTCACAAGCTGTAGAAGAATCTAATCAGGCAATCACTTTAGATACAAAAGCTGGAGCGAAATGAATGTCAAGCAATAAATCAACCTGTTTGACAACTTTATCAGGTAGAACACAACTAGTAAAATCAAGAGATGATATTAATGAAAAGTTCTTAGCAAACAACTTGGCTTTTTCTTTAGGTGCGATGACAAAGTCTGAACCATGAACCATACAAGAGAGGTGGAATTACAGGTTTGCTCTTATTATTGATACTCTTAAAGATTCTCCAGAAGTCACGAGAGCCTAATTTTTGTGATGAAATACAAGATTTCATGACCTGAGAATAGCGGGCTTTGGCGTTAGACAAAACCTTTTTATAATGGTTTCTAGCAGTAATAAACAGACGTCTGTTTTCTGGAGAGTTGTTTTGCTAATAGATATGGAAGCAACGGTTTTGATTGGAAATTGCAGCAGCGCAATGTGAAGAAAACCATGGAGAAGAGTGAGGCTTGACCTGGAATCTTCAAGAGGGAATAAAAGATTCCATGCCATCCTGAATCCACAAAGTTATGTAAGAAGCATATTTTTCAGCATGAAGACAAAAGATTTCTACCCAAGAGCCATCATGAAGAAAATCACGAGTCCCAGTCAACTTCAAAGTAGTTGTAATAGGTACAATGATTCAGATGATAAAGA